TTCGAGCGTTAGTATAAAAGATCGAAAGTTCAGTGTTTCTCTTTGGTGTTCCATGAGTATTCTGGTTACTTTCTTTTGATCTTGCGTGAGGTCCAGGGTTAGGAGCTGTTGAGTCTTTATCTTGGTTTTTATTGGGTCCAGGATTAGGATGGATTCCGATAAGAAGCGGCTTATGAGGCTGGAAAGAACGTTGTTGACATTTATTACTAATTACTAACAGGAATAAGTATACGAGAATGATCTGTTACTTTGATTCTACTTTGACAACTAAGAGAATAAGGTAGGAAAGTATAAAATTCAGTAAAATTTACAATAGAAGTATATGAAAAATATATGGTTATAAAAGTAGTCTGTAAGAATTATGGGAAAGCGTCCCTAAAGATCAATGCTTGATTTTATTTTTAAAAGTGTCAATAGAAAAAGCTTTAAAATTCTAGGGAAGATCATTCCAGAGCTTAGGTGCACATGATTTAAACGTGCGTTTACCATACGATTTCAGGTTACATTTTGGTACCACGAGTAGATTCTTTGAGGATGATCGGAGCTGTCTGGTTGGTACACTTTGCACTTTTCAGTGCAAACCTTGTTTTTTACAGATTAAGTTAGTACTCCATCCAGCTGAAGATGGAATCCTTGCCAGGCAATACTCACCCAGTAACAAGTTATATGTGCAGTGCTCTCGTAGATATTTTTCAATGAAAACGCCTAAAAATGCTGCCATAATTCGCCCAACAGAAATACCAACCTCGTGTGTGCTTAAAGCAGTAGCTTTATCATATGGGCTTGAGAACATATTGGTTGCACAAATCATGGCTTGAACAACAGCTAGGCCAAACGTAATACCTTGGATGAAGCATAGCACAAACACGTGGATAACATTAGGGAGGAACCGATACCACGAGGCCACGACGAAAAATAACATATGAATGACATTGATGACAACTAAAAGTCCAGTATTACGAATCCCGAAGAATTTGTTCATCCATTCCTGACCTGTGCAGCCCAAGATAAAACTTCCTAGTCCTCCAATCACAATCCCTGCATCACTGATCATTCTGTAGTACTGGAAGTGATCTCGGGGGAGAAATGGCGAGGAGGGGAATGTAAGAGTTGTCAAAACTGCTGCAATGGAAAAATGAATGCAGAAGTTTGACAAATATGTGTAGATAAAGATAGGAAAGGATTTCACGAGAACTAGAAATGTCTCGCTCCTTGGTTTATCAGCAGTCGTGTCCTGTTTATCATTGGAGTATTCTTCTTGTGGTAGTTTTGTGTACTGTACAAGTTTGGCTGTCCCTTGTAAGTGATCTTTCAATGGTTCTTTGTCGAGGAGGATGTATATACCAAGTGGAATGAAGCAAATAGGTATGCAAACTGCGATGGCAATACGAGGCGCCACACAGAACCAAGTGGTCAGTCCTGAAAATATGAACAATGAAGGCCATAAGGTCCATGGAATTTCAAAGTGTTTGTATTGTTGAGGTTGTGCATTCTTTACTTTACTGTTGGTATTTGTGAATATTTAGACACTAATATGAGTATAAACCTGAGTAAATGAGTCTGTAATCAAGAAACGGTAATTTCGAACTCAAAAATGGTCTATTACAAATTGTAGTCGGGACGTAAACCTTGCTTAAAAAGTATACACTTGGGCTGTTTTAATTTTAAACTATTGTAAATTATTCCATTAATCAGAAGCATATTTTTTTGTAGTCCGATGACCCCACTTCCTTTTAGCAACCTACTGACTGTGGTGGAACGCGAAATAATATCCCCAAGGCAGCCTATTCCATACCCTTCTGGGCTACATTGGTAAAAGCTCTGTCACCTAAAGTTTTCTTTGATTTTCTACTATTATCTATTAGTAACATGCAATGATTTGATTGTAAATTATATCTGGAGGGTTCCCTGATACTTATTAAATCTTTGAGATAAAGTGGAGCAGTACCATAAAACGTCCTTTTTTCACGAGCACTTAAACCTGTGGCCCTCATTCCGTGCTCGAATTGGTATTTAGGAGTTGGTTTTTGCGGAGGGAGGAAAACMGAAGAACCCGGAAAACCCTCGAAACACAGGAGAGAACCAACAAACAACTCTACTCATATACAACACCGGAGTAATGTGGTCATATTTCGATACATTGCAAACAAGGCGAGCTGCTGCATTCTGCAGGCGCTGTAGCTTAGTTAAATGGACAGCAGGGACGCCATGCAATAGACTATTACAGTAGTCTACGCGCCACATTATGGTCGCTTGAACAATCGCCTTCCTATTTTCATATGGTAAGTACTTTCTAATTCTCCTGATGTTATGTAGATGGTAGTATACTGACTGACAAATTTTAATTGTGTGTGTGATCATACTAATGTTTGAATCAAACCAGGCCCCCAGATTCCTATTTGACGCTACAGCAGATACTTTTGTGGAGCCTATCTGTATTTCTTTTAAGCTGACTTTATTCAACTGCGCGGACGTACCAATAATTAAAAGCTCTGTCTTAGCATCTTTCAATTGTAATTTATCCTTTATCATCCATTTCCTTATGTCACTGATACAATCTTGTAACGCAGTAATAGCATCTACCTCAGCCACCCCAACATCTGGCTTAAATGAATCATACCTACTTTATTTTTCTTTCCCTAAACCCGAAGACATGCATTTGACGGATTTTTTCTCGCCATTATTATCTTATTACTAGCGGGAACAATTAATTCAGAACGAATATTTAACCGCTTCAGTGAATTTTACCCATATTTCTTTCGGTCCAGTCGCGTAAGCTTGAGCCGGTCGACGACAACGTTTTTGAAATTGACTGTATGCATGTATGTCAGGAAGGTTAGACTTTACAACTTCGAATAGCTTGCTTGCATACAACGTTAAGAGCATAGGTCCTAGACTTGACCCTTGTGGTACCCCCTGAGATAATTCAAAGTCCTGCGAGAAGTTCCCGTTTGTACAGACACGTTTTTTTGCCAGATCGGTACGACTGGAACCACTTGAGGGCAGTGCCTGTGAAAATCTTTCGTCGCACATGGAAAAACTTCTGATTATTTATACCCCATTAAGTAAAGACCGAAACTGAAATTTCTAAAACTCTACCAATTGTTTCTTTAAATATCCCAATTATTTACCATTTAGTCTGATTACATTTCAGATGGTTTTGTTTGGTCGCGATAAGCTGATGCAAGTTGATGTAAATTATCGGCCGAAAATTAGCAAGTTAGATTTTCTCCAAAACTATTAAAGTGGTATATTTTACCAAACAAACTACACAGTGGCTTTACTTACAGTAAGGCCTAATATGTATAAAATATTAGCAAAATCCATTTCTCGACCCTTGCCACCTGATGTTTGATTTTTGCTGACATGCACTCTGTTTAAAACTTATCATTTTTATCCTTAATATTAATCATTATTATTATTATTATTATTATTATTATAACCCAATTTTGTAGTTTTTCTTAAACTCAAAATAGACTCAAATTTTCATTTTTTTTAGATATTTCATATCAAACTTTCCACATAGAAAAGTTGTCCTTCCACTCGAGCCGTTTCTTTTACCATATAAGGAATGTACTTACCATATTTGGAAATTGGAATATAATTTTCTTTACTAAATAGGCGAATTTCTTGCTCAAAACTGCTCAAATTTACAGTAAATCGAGTGAAAACATCACTAACTAGTCAGCCATCTTGGTTTTGGCCGAAAAAGGACTGGAAATGCGTAGGGGAGGGGACCGTGGTTTGTCACCACAGGAAGCCCGCGAACGACAACAATTGTTTGATATGATAACATTTAAGTTATTACATTATTACACAAATCTTATCACAAATGATATTAATTTATGTACATGTTTTTAACAATCGAAATGGAAATTAAAGTAGTAGTAGTAGTAGTAGTATTTAAGAAGCAATGTCTGTAAAAATCAAACATAATCGAAAATCGGTGTGCCGCGTTGAAAAAATCGATTTTGTTCATATTTGGTCCAAAGATGTGCAATACCACCCAAAGAACGTTTAATTTTGAATAATTTCACTTTTATTTTAGGACAATCGTGAAAATCGGTTTTGGCCGTCGGCGCCCTCAATTCAGCCTAAATCCGAGGTGAAAATGGTAGGTCTGAGAAAGGCGCTCGTATATAAAAATGAAGCAAACTAGAGACAAGCTGCTTTTTGAATATGGTAAAGGAAAGATTAATGATTATTTTCAGCTAAAATATAAATAGGGGAACGCGTTCTAATAAGCGAACAGGAAACGTTTTTTCGGGTTCTCAAATATTTACATTTCATCCTTAGTTTGCAAAGCGGATTTTCATGTGCACCCGGTGTTCGGATTTATCTGAAATTCCAGCCATAATACCTTCGAATGTCAACCTAAATCATACATAAAATTCAGGTAGCGTCCACACTATGCCGGATAAATTTGAACCCGAATTTTTTTTTATTCGGTTAGGCTTACCGTCCACACTAATGCGTAACAATTCTTCACCGAAAACGATTTTTTTCGAATAAGGTCTCCAGAATGGAACAATTTGAAATCGCCGGCCAGCCGTATTAGTGTGAACGGAGAACATTTTGTATCCGAAATTTTTCGGATACGATGACGTCATGATTGTCATGGGAACATAGCGGGAAGGCTAAAAATTCACCGTAGGTTCAATTTCAGCTTCGAATGAAGCGTTTTTGCCGCCTCTGATCGGACTAGTGTGGACGCGAAACATTTTATCCGTTTTCATGTGTGGACGGAAATATTTTTTTCGGTTTCGGTGTGAAAGTTGCGGATTCAAATTTATCCAGAATAGTGTGGACGGGGCCTCAGCTTGAGTTATTTAATTGATCCGAAACTCTTGAATTCAGAGAAATTTGGGTTGTTTGGGCTCGGCATCCGACGAAACCTGTTCTAGGCAGACATAACAAAAACCTATGAACTATTTCCCCATGGGCTGCACGGTTCATCTTATAAAGAACTAAAAATATGAAGAACTAAAAATATGAAGAACTAAAAATATGAAGAACTAAAAATATGAAGAACTAAAAATATGAAGAACTAAAAATATACTTTCTGTTGTCTAATTTATAAATATAAGAGTACATCTAGGGATATAAATATCAATGAGATCATATATATTAAGCAGGGTACTGGGTTCGAGTTCGGACCGCAAAGCATGCATAGATTGTTTGGAAGTACAGAAATGCTAGTAATGGCGTCCATCGCGACTTAAAATTCCATGTGATAGTGTGAATTATGCCGCATAAATCCAACTGTTGTCTTCCTTGATGTCTTAGCTTCAGAAATGCTCCAGAATTACATAATACTAGAATTGTGTAGGATGAAGAGCAAAGAAAAATTTACAAGCGCATTTTGAAACGAAACACTAGAGATCGAATCTCAAGCTACTAGGGTTTGCTCTGCACATTGCGAAGGAGGGGAAAAGTTGAGTCGCAATCATTTACCAGCCATCTTTCCGTGAACAAAACAAACACATAAAAAAAGAGAGATAACCGGACATCGTGTTGTAGACAAATCACAGAAAAAGAAAAAACGACTTGAGTCAGAGACGTCAAAAGAACAAACCATCGAAAACCCCCGGCGAAAACCCAGATTTTCATCATGGCGTCGAAGTAAACAACCATCAAGATCTTCAACAAGCAACTGAAACTTTGCTTTCTGGTCAAGACATTGATAGACTACTTGAAATTTAAAAGCAATATCTAGCTATCAAGGAAGAAAACGAAAAACTACGGTCAGAAAACAAAGACATTGATAGACTACTTGATATAGAAAAACCAATTTCAGCTGTTAAAGAAGAAAACAAAGATTAAAATAACAGCTTTACACCTACTTGCAAGAAGGTTGTCATACAAGAATAGAACATTTATAATTTAGTAAATTATTGATTTAGTAAATTTACCGGAATAAATTATCACTGACGTCAGACTCGGGTCACCCAATCAGATCATACTAACAGCTCAGAAACGCTAGGCAGCGCTAGAATCCGTTTTAGTTTCAGTCTAAAGGGAAATTCTTTTATGGTCATAATAGTCCATATCATGTAGCCTTATAAGATCACCAAGCGGAGAAGTACACATAGAATAACAATTTTTCCACGGGCTGAAAGTCTCTTAATATGATAGGATTGTTATATAGCTACGAAATTTTCAGATATAACGAACACTCCCATTGGTTGAAAGATAACCACGTGACACTAGTTAAATCTAAATGTATCGCGACCGTGAAATAAGTTACTTATTTCCCGGTCGGGAAATAATTTGCACGTAACAATAATCGTGAAAATAAACAAGTGCACGTGATCAGAACGTGAAAATCGCTGATGGCGTGATATTTTGCACCAATCAAAAACAGCAGAGCGGGAGCAGATATTTTTGCTTGAATTTTCAGAACAAATGGAGCTCGAAGCGAAACAACAGAGATTTTCCAGTGTTTCTACGGAGAAATTACAGACTTGTATTGAGAAAAAGGATTCGGAAAATACAAAAAAAGCGACAAAAAGTGCTGTTGCTACCTACTCCCCTCGCTTTTTGGTAGAGAAACACAAGACCGTATGTGAGTTGCATTCGTAAGGTCATGGTCAGTTTKGATTAGGAACCCCCTTCAGGACCCTCCATTTTTCATAGGAATACGTAGAGTTAATAGAGGGGAGTCCCTCTATTAACTCTGGAATACGTCATCAGAGCCTTGCATAGATTTGAACGGCCAGGAGCTGCCGCTAACACGAATGTTATACTTTTAGATACTAAAACATAAGGAGGAAGACGCACAAATGTAGTTAATAACGGGAAATCCCAAATACTTTTTGGACCCCCTTCAAAAATATCCTGGATCTGCCTCTGAAACTAGACAAATGTTACCTCAAGGGTCACACACAATACGAGGGCGTACAACATGAGCCGATCTATTATTTTTGATGCATTCGTGAGAAGAGCAAAGTTCGCATTCCTATATTACATAAATTTGTTATGCATACAAGAGGGGGATATTGTTTTAAAAGAAAGCATAGTTTAAGGGGCTTCGATATTTAAGTTTTAGTCCTCAAGTGGCTGGGCCGGCAAAAAAATAAGGTTTTTGAGGAGAACTCTTTATCCCCAATGGTCATGGCCGCCAGTGGTCACGCAACGCTTTCGCGGTTTTGTGTAGATGACCGTCACTATACCTAGAATTCATGATTTGTGAAGCGGTAGGGAGTAAATGCTGCTCTTTCTTCAGAAAAATCGCTCAAATTTGCTAAGTATTGATGTCTCAAACGGCTTATAAGAGGTTTGAAAAATATTATTTTAATTTTGGCAGTCATTTACTTGCTAATTTATRCAAAAACGATCCTTTCTGAAACAACGTATTTAGGCATATTTGATYGRTCGTAGAAACTTAAAAACACATTTACCTAAGAATTTKTTTTCACAATCTTGAACAATATCATCTTGACATCACATACAGTGAAAATCTCGCTTTTCCCTTGTATCGGCCATGGTAAAATTCTCACTTGTTTTGAGGGTACTTTTAAGCTCCAGAAAACTGTGTCTTGCAAATAATCCTTCCAGAAATTCTTCGTTACAGCTACATGTCTGAAAATCATTGTGAGGCATATAGAGATACCAAGTTTATTAGGTTAGAAAGGTCAAGTATTGATTGTATTTCGTACACGAGATCGGTGATTTATCTCAATTTCAGAGTCGTCAAATTAGCATATTTGCCTATCTGCATAAAAATTCAAATTTCTCCCGAACCAAAAAGAATTTTTCAAAACCAAGTGCACAGGGATTATTGTTATAAGATAGGGTATCTAACTTCAAAGTATGAACAAAATCGATTTTTTGACTGTTGCCACGTAATGTCTGATTTTTACGGACAGCCGCTCTTAAATCTTTCTATTGTTAGAGTTTCATTAAATATGGAACAATATTTCGTAAGCAAGTTCAGTTGTTTTGGAGTCAGTTGTTCTGTTCAACGAAAGATCGTACAAGAGCTGTGA